TTTTTGATGAATGCTTCAATTTCCTTAGTGGTTACAGGAACAGCCCAGCTGGTTCAGTTTTGGTCGTTGATACATCTCTAGGAATGCATCCATTTCTTCCAGATTACCTAATTTGCCAGCATATAGTTGCTGATAATATGTTCTTATAATTGTTTGTATTTCTTTGGTGTTGGTTGTGATCTCTCCTCTTTCATTCATGATTTTGTGGATTTGGGTCATTTCTCTTTTCTTTTTGATAAGTCTGGCCAGGGGTTTATCAATCTTGTTAATTCTTTCAAGGAACCAGCTCCTAGTTTCGTTGATCTGTTCTACTGTTCCTTTGGTTCTATTTCATTGATTTCTGCTCTGGTCTTTATTATTTCTCTTCTCCTGCTGGGCTTAGGCTTTATTTGGTGTTCTGTCTCCAGCTTCTTTAGGTGTAGGGTTAGGTTGTGTATTTAAGACTTTTTTTGTTTCTTGAGAAAGGCTTGGATTGCTATATACTTTCTTTTTAGGACTGCCTTTGCTGCATCCCAAAGATTTTGAACATTTGTGTTTTCATTTTCATTTATTTCCATGAATTTTTCTAATTCTTCTTTAATTTCCTGGTTGACCCATTCATTCTTTAATAGGATGCTCTTTAGTCTCCATGTATTTGAGTTCTTTCCGACTTTCCTCTTGTGATTGAGTTCTAGTTTCAAAGTATTGTGGTCTGAAAATATGCAGGGAATGATCCCAATCTTTTGGTACCGGTTGAGACCTGATTTGTGACCTAGAATGTGATCAATTCTGGAGAATGTTCTATGGACAATAGAGAAGAATGTGTATTCTGTTGTTTTGGGATGGAATGTTCTGAATATATCTGTGAAGTCCATTTGGTCCAGTGTGTCATTTAAAGTCTTTATTTCCTTGTTGATCTTTTGCTGAGATGATCTGTCCATTTCAGTGAGGGGGGTGTTAAAGTCCCCCACTATTATTGTATTGTTGCCGATGTGTTTATTTGCTTTTGTTATTAATTGCCTTATATAATTGGCTGCTCCCATGTTAGGGGCATAGATATTTACAATTGTTAGATCTTCTTGTTGGATAGACCCTTTAAGTAGGATATAGTGTCCTTCCTCATCTCTTATTACAGTCTTTGGTTTAAAATCTAATTTGTCTGATAGAAGGATTGCCACCCCAGCTTTCTTTTGGTGTCCATTAGCATGGTAAATGGTTTTCCACCCCCTCACTTTCAATCTGGGGATGTCTTTGGGTCTAAAATGAGTCTCTTGCAGACAGCATATCAATGGGTCTTGTTTTTTTATCCAATCTGATACCCTGTGTCTTTTGATTGGGGCATTTAGCCCATTTACATTCAGGGTAACTATTGAAAGATATTAATTTAATGCCATTGTATTGCCTGTAAGGTGACTGTTACTGTATACTGTCTGTGTTCCTTTCTGGTCTGTTACTTTTAGGCTCTCTCTTTGCTTAGAGGACCCCTTTCCATATTTCGTGTAGGGCTGGTTTTGTGTTTGCAAGTTCCTTTAGTTTTTGTTTGTCCTGGAAGCTTTTATCTCTCCTTCTATTTTCAATGAGAGTCTAGCTGGATATAGTATTCTTGGCTGCATATTTTTCTCATTTAGTGCTCTGAATATATCATGCCAGTCCTTTCTGGCCTGCCAGGTCTCTGTGGTTAGGTTTGTTGTCAATCTAATGTTTCTTCCATTGTAGGTTACAGATCTCTTTTACTGAGCTGCTTTCAGGATTTTCTCTTTGTCTCTGAGACTCATAAGTTTTACTATTAGATGTCGGGGTGTTGACCTATTTTTATTGATTTTGAGGGGGATTCTCTGTGCCTCCTGGATTTAGATGCCTTTTTCCTTCCCCACATTAGGGAAGTTCTCTGCTATAATTTGCTCCAATATACCTTCTGCCCCTCTCTCTCTTTCTTCTTCTCTGGAATCCCAATTATTCTAATGTTTTTTCATCTTATGGTATCACTTATCTTTCGAATTCTGCCCTCGTGATCCAGTAGTTGTTTATCTCTCTTTTTCTCAGCTTCTTTATTTTCCATCATTTGGTCTTCTATATCACTAAATCTCTCTTCTGCCTCCTTTATCCTAGCAGTGAGAGCCTCCATTTTTTATTGCACCTCATTAATAGCTTTTTTGACTTCGAATTGGTTAGATTTTCGTTCTTTTATTTCTGCAGAAAGGGTTTCCTTCTTCCATGCTTTTTTCAAGCCCAGCTAGTATCTTTAAAATCGTCATTCTGAACTCTAGTTCCGACATCTTACTAATGTCTGTATTGATTAGGTCCCTGGCAGTCGGTACTGCATCTTGTTCTTTTTTTTGAGGTGATTTTTCCATCTTGTCATTTTGTCTAGAGGAGAATAGATGAAAGAGAGAACAAAATGCTAACAGGGTAACAATGACCCCAGAAATATATACACTAAACAAATCAGAAGAGACCTGAAACCGGGGGAAAAGGAAGGGAAAGAAAGAAAAAAGAAAAAAAAGATAAAAACAAACAAGCAAAAAACAGAATATGATCAAATATGATCAGCTGGTGCACAGATCAGTGCCACACACTAGATTTTGGGTGTATTTTGGTCTGTTAGAAGAAAGTGCCTCCCAAAATTTTAAAGAAAGAAAAACATATATGTACAAAAGTAAGGATAAATATGATGAAGGGATGGAATATGACTGTATAGGTGAAAATTATAAAAGATTTTATAAAAGGAATTGAGAAGATAAGAAGTTGGTTGTAAAAAGAAAGAAGAGGATTTAAAAAAAAAGGGAGAGAATGTGATCAGACAGGAGACTAGAACAAAGCCATACACTAGAGATTTAGGGTTTATTTTGGTCAGTTAGAGGAAAGTGTATCCCAAAATTTTAAAGAGAGAACAACTTATATATATATACCAAAAATAAGGTTAACTACAATGAAGGGATAGACTATGACTCTAAAAATGAAAAACAAAAAAGATTTTTTAAAAAGGGGATTGATAACGATGTTGGCTGAAAAAGGGAAAAAGAAAAATCCAAAAAGAAAAAAGAAAATGAAAGTTAAAAAAAAATTAACTGTGAAAGACTAAAGAATCATGGTAAAAAAGCCATGAATTCTCTGTGCAGTATTCCCCCAGCACTGGAGTTCTCCTGTTCTCATTGATCAGTAAAGTTGGTCTTGGCTGGCTGTTCTTGCTGATCTTCTGGGGGAGGGGCCTGTTGCCGTGGTTCCCAAATGTCTTTCCCGGAGGCGGAATTGCCCCGCCCTTGTCGGTCTGGGTAAGTAATCAGCTCAGGTTTGCTCTCGGGAGCTTTTGTTCCCTGCAAGCTCTCGGTACAGTGTTGGAGGATGAGAGTGAAAATGGCGGCCTCCCAATCTCCGCCCAGGAGGAGCCGAGAACTTGGGGCCCCGCTCCTCAGTGAGCCCCCAGAGAAAAGCAGTCAGTCACTCCCATCTCCCCGGTGTCCGGCCGCACTCCGTGCTCACCCGGCCTGTGACCGAGCATTTCTAACTCTGGCACCCAACCCCGTGTGGAGTCTCCAAACCCAGCAGATCCCTGTGGTTCACTCCCGCGCCGCTCCTCCCGGGGGGAGGAAAGGGAGTCTCCCCGGATCTGCCGCGTGTTGGGTCCCTGCTGGAGGAGCAGTGGCCCGACTGGGCCGCGGATCACAGTTTATGGCACCCCGAGCTGAGAGCCCGCGCCTCGGCTCCGTCTCTGCAGCCGGCTTCCCCAATCCGATACCTGGGAGCTCTGCCGCACTCAGGCACCCCTGGTCTTTCTGTGATCCTGAGGGTCCTGAGACCACACTGTCCCGCGAGGGTTCCACCCCCCGCTTAGCCACTGGAGCGACGTCCCTCAGAGGAGCCGACTTCTAAAAGTTCCGATTTTGTGCTCCGCGGCTCTAGCACTTGCCAGAAGCGGCCAATGGAGGCCCCCTCCCCCGCCATCTATCCTCCCGAATAGCGCTTCGGATTCACTTCTCCGCACGTCCTACCTTCCAGAAAGTGGTCGCTTTTCTGTTCAGAGAGTTGCTGCTATTCTTTTCTTTGATCTCCTGTTGAGTTTGTAGGTGTTCAGAGTGGTTTGATCCTTATCTGGCTGAATTCCTGGGACCAGGTGAAATTTAGGTCTCCTACTCCTCCGCCATCTTGCTCCTCCGATCTAATTCTGCTCTTCGTTTTTCTGGCAGTGATCCCTTCCACAAACTTACTTTCCTTAGATTCCTTCATAGTATCTGTTAGTAAACTTCCTTTCCCATTCCTGTGACCTCAATTCTCATTTCTGTCCCTGTAAAGTTCAGTTTTTTCAGTTTTAGTCTTGTAACCCAAAATCATCTTACCTCCACAGTGAAACACTGGCCACGTTTGATGTTACTGCAGATAAATAGAGTATGAATATTTTTTCACATATATACTTGTAAGTAATGTGCAGAATAGCCTTTGTAAATATGAAGCACTTTCCTCTGTCCGCATTCACTGTGGTCCATGCAGGGCCTCTTAACCAATGGATACTTCCTGTTCCATTGAGGAGACCACTATTTTCACTCCAATATCTGTCTTCTTTGACCCTAGAACATTGAGACAGGGCCACTTTCGCATCTCTCTTCTAGACTTCAGGAAACATTCATATCCCTGGACTCTAGTTCAGCTACTCCCACAAACCCACCTTTATCTTCTCTGTCCACTCATGTTTTGAAATATTCCAAGACTGATATCACCTCTTCTGTGAAAATATGAGTTTCATACCAGCCTTTGTCCTGGCAGTGTGCTGAAATTTCGGTGGAAATCTCTCTCTCACTCTTATCCCTTTTTCTTTTGCAGGGCCTGCTGGTGTAACCTCCTTCCCAGAATCCAAGGTTTCCGTGTCTGTATCAGAAAGTACTCCTTACCTGAGTACAGTAATGCTGTCTTCAGCTGAGACCGTTTCAATTGACACATTGGTGCCTTCTCTGTCTACAGTTACATCTGGAGTTCCAGGTGACAGCTCAGCCACCTTCTCAGCCAGTCCATTTCTGAGAACAGAACGAGGCCCTGGGGATGCTATGTCCACCATTGCAGAGAGTCTACCTTCATCAGCTTCAATACCACTCCCCTCTTTGACCTTCACTCCTGCTTACTCTTCAACCAGTCCAGCCCCCCATGGAATTACTTCCTCACTGGTTACCCAACGTATGGTGGGCACCAACACTGGGGCGGAGAGGAGCACTGCTGAAGGACCCTTGGGTGTGGTCAGTACTTTGGAGACATGGACTGAGCCAGTCAGGACATCTTTATCAACCATTGTGGATACCAGAATGACAGAGCATATTAACTTGGGAACAGTGACAAGTTCTTCTCAACTTCCTCCACAATCAACACAGTTGACAAGTAAGGTCCTATACTCCAATTATTAGTGACTCATAGGAAATGACTCTTTTCCTGAGAGGCATAAAGGAGTTTAGGAGTTTATTACTGCACAGAAATTCTTTTAGCAAACATTTGTTGGTCTATCCTCAGTTCTAGGCATTAGACTAGGCATTGGGGAAACTAAGATAAATAAGTAAGTAGATGATTCCAGTACCATGATAGATGTTTTAACATTACTATGATTATGCTGATGATAATGCTAATGACAACAGACTTTTTCTAGGGCACTTATTCCCTGTCAAGCGTTGTTCTATTAATTTATTTAATCCTTATTGAAACACAATTTGAAGAAAGGATGATTATAAGCCCATTTTACAGATTAGTAAACTGAGAACAGAGGGTTGAGTAATTTACTCAAGTTCATAAAGCTAATAAGTGGTAAGAATTCAGAGTATGTGGCACTAGGAATCTATGCTCTTAGTTATTAGGCTAATTGGTCAGAGAGGGAGGAGAAAAAGCAAGAGATTCTGGCATTGCAGAAGCCATAGGAGGGGAGAGTTTTAGGAAGAAAAATGGTCAGTTCTGTCAAATGCTACTAATAGTCACATTGAAGTGGGGTGAGTCCTTTGACAAATGTGGGCCCTCAGAGACTCTAATGAAGGGAGTGTGAGTAAGTTGCAAAGAACTAGAACAACAGCCTAATTACACATAGATACAGGGGAGATATCCCTCTTTGAATTGAGTGTGTTTTTATGTTGAGGACACAGTCAAAAGCAAGGGAAAAGTGAAAGAAAAAGGTGAGCAAAGTAAAATGATGGAACAAAGTACCTATGGGATGTGGGAAGGACTGGGGGCCTAGGAGGAGGCACACCACCTCCAAGAGATCCATAGATGAGGGAGGGAAACTCTTGGGGATTCCATTCCTCTGAAAAGTTGAACTTGCCCCCAACTTTTGTCTCAGAGACAAGTACAAAGAAGTCCTCTAACTACCTTAGCACCTGCTTTGCTAGCCATTATCTATAGGAAGATGACTTGGTTACCTCTCAATTCACAATAAAATTAAACACATTGATAGGTATTGACCCATGTCTTAAAATGTGGCTCAGTAGTTGAGTCATGGGTGTTCAGTAAGCAAGTGATGAGTGAGATGGTAAGAAGGTAGAAGAGTGGTTGGATGGTTGGAGGGATAAAAGGAAGAATGGAAAAACAGATAAATGAAAGAAGAGAGGGTAAATGTGTAGAAGGGAGGATGGATGTAGAGAAAGGAGGAAAGAAGGAAGGATGGATGGGTAGATATAGGGATGGATGGAAGGAAAGATGGACAGATCTACAGGTGGATGAGTAGGTCAATGGATAGGGGTGGCCATTGGTGGCACATAGCCCTGGCTCAAGTCCACACAGATGGACTTGAAAAGAATTGAGTTGTATAGTCAATTAAGTGGACCCATTTAGACAGTGCTCTCCTTCTGGGTGAGATGAATTAACCCAGGCTTCTTCTCCACCCTCACCTTCAGGGACTGACGGCATCGTGGAGCACATCCCAGAGATACCCAATGAAGCAGCCCATGGAGGAGCCACAGAACCAGTCCATGTCCCTGTGGCACCCACAGCATCTGCTAGTCCTAGAGGTAGGTTCAACTTTGCTTACTTCCCAGTGATCTCACTTGAGGTCTTATTTCCTCCTCCAGAGAGATGAAATGTTTGTTTCTTTAGAGGAAGAATAATGTGGGGTGGCCATGGACTTCCCTGTCTTAGCTGGATCTTTGTCTAACGGTTACCAGGCAGACATTACCACTTTTCTTTTCCTCATAACATGCATAGTGAGTTTAGTTCAAGGTTAGATATGTCATTTCCACAAATATGACCCAGTTTAACTTAACTCTGAAAATGCTTATTAATCTCTTTCTCTGTGTTAGAGACTGCTATAAGCGGAGGATGCGCAGATGAAAATACTTGGGCACTGTATCCATGAAGCTCTCAGACCAGCAGGGAAGCAAAAAAGGAACAGAATAACTATGATGCAACTTTAAACATATGCAATGAAGATGTGTTTGAACCGTAGAAGGAAGGCTTAATGAGGAAGATAATATTTGAATTGGGTTTGAAAAGATGACTAGGGATTTACCAGAAAGACAAAGGGAGTTGATGAAGATATTCTGGATAGAGAGAACAAACAGCCACATGCAAAGGCACAGACAAGGGTAAAACTGGAAATATTTGGGAGATACAAATAATTCGCCTTTGCTAAAGTATGAGGTAGAAGGATAGGGTGGTAGGAAATGATACTGGAGACATGGGCAGAAAACAACATTCAGGAAACCTCCTAAGGCTTGGTAATGTTTGGATACCCTTTAACAAAAGGACAAAGAATTTTGAGGCAAAAAAAAAAAGAAGTTTGGCAAACATGTTGTTCCTTCCTAAAGAATCATAACATGCATAAGCATATTAAAGATTCTGAGAAGTCCTACTGTAAAGAAATTTGTTTAGCTTTATTCAACCTAGAGTTTTATACAATTACTTAACTGCAATAATCTTTCTCTCTAAAAGGCACCTGCTAACATTTCTCGGTGTGATTGTTCTGCATGAGAGTTTAAGAGGTGCAGGTGTATATAGCAAGGGGTTCTCCTCACTGTGTGATTAAAAGGTAAAGTTCCCCATACCCACTAATTTATTCCCAAGATTTTTGGAGCCCAGACTATTATACATTTTGGAGGCTTTCTGCAAGATGCAGGCTTTAGACAGACTTGCCCCTACCCCACGATCAGGTGATAAGTCTCATTCTGTTAAGGATATGGGGCAAATGGTTTGTCTCAGGTGGGGGATGGTCCTAGGAAGCACTGGAGAAGACAAGGAAAGGAAGTCAATGCAAATTGCATTCATGAGCAAGCCCCAGCTGTGAGCAACAGTGTCAGTCCCACTGGGAAGCTCTGGCAGACAGCATAGAACACCTCAGTTTTGGGCACCTGGGTGGCTCAGTTGGTTAAGCATCTGCCTTCAGCTCAGGTCATGATCTCAGGGTCCTGGGATCAAGCCTCACGTTGGACTCTCCGCTCAGCGGGGAGTCTGCTTCTCCCTCTAACTCTCCCTCTGTGCACGCTCTCTCTCTCAAATAAATAAATAAAATATTTTTTAAAAATTAAAAAAAAGAACACCTCAGTGTTGTCCTATCTGAGGAATTAAGTAGATGGGGGCATTTGTTGTCCAATTCTCTTCTATCATTGGCTGTAGGATGTTTGATCCTGGGTTAATAACCCTCAACACTTCCAACCTATCCCCTGCCCCCACCACAGGCTAAGTGAAAGCCCTTAGGTGTGGAGTCACAGGGGCTGCATCAGGACCCCACTTGGGTCACTATATGGGATATAAGTAGGGCATTGACAGGATTGGCTATATCAGTTCACCAGGAAATGAATCACTGGGTTTCAGGTGGCCGCCAGTATTTAGATGGCAAAGCTTATGAGGAATAGCTAAGAGTATTCATTGACTCCTTTCAACACACAGCAGGGTTTCTCAACTTTGGCTCTATCAGGCAAGTAATTACTTGTGGGCCATCCTGTGCACTGTAGGATATTTAATATCATCCTTGGCCTGTACTCACTAGATTCCAGTAGCACCCTACACATACACACAGTTGCGATGAACAAAAATGTCTCCCGACATTGCCAAGTATCTGCTGGGAGTAAAATCACCCTGGGTTGAGAACCTGAACTAAGAAACTTTTGTTTAACCTTCTCTCCAGATGGATATTTTCCCCTTACATCCTTCTCTTTTCATCCTGACCCCCACAAAATCCTGAAATTCAGTTAGGGACTGATATACTACAGTGCTGGAGAGCATTGGTTTAGTATTCGGCCAAACCTATGATTTCCACACTAGCAGTCAGTAGCTGTGTGACCTTGTTAGATGATGATCTCTGAGTTTCTGTCTTTCTCTTTTATGAAACCACAAGAATAATATGATGTACATTCAATGTTCTGGTGAGGATCAAAGAGATAAAGCATGGTAGGTGCTTACAAATGTTCTTCCTCCTTCTTTGCCCCCTCCTCATCATCTTTGCCAAATACATATAAAGCATTTCGGTATGTGCACTCTCAGAAATGTGGGGGTTTTGGATAATCTTAGCAAAAGAAGGACATCGCTTCCCCATCAGAGTCTAAATCCCCTTTATTTTATCCCTGAATCAAGTACCAGTGGGCTTTGTGGTCTTTTTTTTTTTAATTTAATTTAATTTTATTATGTTATGTTAGTCACCATACAATACATCATTAGTTTTTGATGTAGGCTTTGTGGTCTTTATAGAGAAGCCTCCTGGTGGTTCTCCCTCCCCCCTGGGGACTATTTTTTTAATATATATTTTACAGGGTAATGTGTTTTATTTACCATTTTTTGAGGCCCCAGTCAGTAGCTGCTGTCTCAGCCAATGTGACTTAACTTGTCTTCAGAGTCTGAATCCGGGTCACCTTCGGGACTGGTCTAGTGTGGTTCCTGGCAAATCCGACTCAGCAAACACTTATTTTGTAGTGGAAATACCAAAAGTAGTAGTAGTAGAAACAGTAGGAATAACTCCAGTAATAGTAGGTAAAAGTAGCAGTAGTAACAGTAGTAGTAACAATGCCAGTAGGTGGTAATAGCAGTAACAGCAGTAATGGTAGGTAGTAACAGTAGTAGTAACAATGCTAAAAGGTGGTAATAACAGTAACAGTAGTAATGGTAGGTAGTAGCAGTAACAGTAGTAATGGTAGGTAGTAGCAGTAACAGTAGTAATGGTAGTAACAGCAGGTAGTAGTAGGAGTAGCAGTGGTAGTATTGTGAGCCAGGAGGCACCGGGCTGGGTGCATTTTTATCAGCATTCTGAGATGGCCACCGTACTTACACCTACTTCACAGATGAAAATATGGAAATCTAGCAAGATTTGGTAACACATCCAGTTAGTGGAAGAGCCAGAATCTAAGTTCAGGAATACCTTCTTCCAGAGCCCAAGTTCTTTTTTTGTTTTTGTTTTTTAAGATTTTGTTTATTTATTTGACAGAAAGAGAGACAGAGAGACAAGAAGGGGGAATGGCATGGGGCCCGATCCCAGGACCCTGTGATCATGACCTGAAGGCAGTCGCTTAACCAACTGAGCCACCCAGGCACCCCCAGAGCCCAAGCTCTTAAGCACAGTGACACATAATCTCTCTCAATCCAGAGGAGACCTGTCTCTGCATACATCCATCTACGTATCCATTCATTCATTCACTCACTCACTTACTCAACAAATATTTGTGGGCACCTACTATACACCAAGCAGTCTTCTGGCTATTAATAGCTATTACCAAGCAGACTGTGAGGAGTGCTATGGTGCAGATTCATTTTTTTTAAAGATTTTTATTTATTTATATGTCAGAGAGAGAGAGAGCACAAGCAGGGGGAGCAGCAGAAGGAGAGAGAGAAGCAGGCTCCTCACTGAGCAAGGAGCCTGATGTGGGACTTGATCCCAGGACCCTGGGATCATGACCTGAGCCGAAGGCAGACGCTTAACGACTGAGCCACCCAGGCGTCCCTGTGGTGCAGATTCAGACAGTAGGATAAGGAAATATTGAGAAGGGAGAGATGAATTCTGACATGGATTTGTAAAAGTTGATTTGAGTTGGGGTTTGAAGAAGGGCAGAATGTAAGGAATCTGATGAAAGATGGACAAGGCAGACAGAGAAAACAGATTGAACAAAGGCTTAGGGGCTGGAGCGTACAGACAACATTTGGGAACAGGGAGTGGTTAAGAATTCACGGAGTTACGGCACAAGATGAGAAGGGGAAGGTGCCGGAATGTCAATGACAATTCCTTTTCCCATTCCAGAAGCATTGCAGGCATATCTCAGGCAGAGACATTTCTCTCTCTCCCTTTCCTCATGTGGAGAAAAAATAAGCTATTGCCAGTCCGGTAAGCGGTGATCATTTTGTCCAAACTGTGTGTCCATCCCCCAATTCACAGGACCACCAACAGAGTGGACAGAAAAAGCAGAAATCACAGCTCTGAAGACCACTTCTACAGCAACTTTGACCACTACAGTCTCTACTCCCACTTCCAGAATGCTGACTCTCCTCAGGACATCAGGTAAAACAGCCAGCACAAGCACAAGAGGAATGATCATTACAACCCCAGATGTTTCCCCTGATGTTCTAGAGATGACAGCCTCATTGGCCACCAGACCTGGAGCAGAGACCAGCACAGAACTTCCCAGGACAGCCTCATCTGTTTTCAGTAGAGAGTCAGAAACGATACCCTCACTAGTCCCTAGTTCTGGGGCAAAGAACAGTCCAGCTATTCCAACTCTGACTGTTTCTTTTAGTGAGCCAGAGACCACAATCTCATGGGTCACTTATCCTGCAGAAACCAGTTCAACTATTTCCAGGGAAACCCTGAATGTTTCCCACAGTGAATCAGATAGCACACCCCCAATAGCTACCGGTTCTGGGGAAGAAGTCAGTTCAGCTGTTCCAACTCTGACTGTCTTCCCTGGTGTACCAGAAATGGTGACCGCCCTGGTAACTAGTCCTGCGGCAGAGACAAGTATGGTCCTTTCAACTCTGACTGATTCCCAAGATGCACCAGAGACCTCTGCCTCATGGGTCACCCATCCTGGGGCACAGAGCAGTTCATCCATTCCAACTCCAACTGTCTCCCCTGGTGTAATAGGGGTGAAAATCTCACCAGTCACCAA